TCTGCTGAGGAGTTTGACTGCTGCTTGTAGGAAAATACTGGAAAGGTATTTTGCCGAGATCTCTTCAACAGAAATAATGTTGTGATTGTAGTTTTATGTATGCTAATATATATGTGGTAATAATTCGTTGAGATACTGGTTGCGTAGGAGTCTTACATCTTGCCTTTGTCTGCTCCTGTGTTCATTTCAGTTCACTAACAGTTTTATTGCACAGAGATTTTCTGCTGGTGAGCTTAAAGCACAGAATAAATGCAGTAGTCAGCTTTGAGTCTCATTAAAAGCTACAGTGAGATTGGGGAACATAGAGTGGAGTAACCTGGCATAGCAGTCAGGAATGGAAAGTCAAGCCTGTTATTTTTACAGCTGTTAGTCAAATTATTTTTTTCCCCAATAAGTTGGTAAATAATTACCTCTCTGTGTGTATGCATGTATGTGTAGTGACAGAATCAGCAGCATTTTTTTCCCTAGTTTGAATTCTTGAACAGTTAATTTTTACGTCAGGATTTGCAGGGAGGGGATACATTCTAGTAAGAATAGCTGTAGACCTACCACAATGTGTCCCTTGCCTTGTTGATCTTTCTGCCCTGCAAGTCGTTTCTTTTTTTTTTTTTCCTGTTTTTTTTTTTTGTTTTTAACATACATACAGAACTTCTACACTTAGGTTTGCTTCATTTAAAAACATGGCTGTGTGTAGTCTGACCAAACAATTACAAGGGACTTGAATAAATGCTCATAAATCCTGAGTGATCACCATAATAGGTTTTGACAAGCTGCTGTATCAGAAAAGTGAAGTGTCCTGCCTCCATGAAGGTCACTATTAGTAGTACCATTTAGATGACTTCACAATGATCACATTTAAATTGTGTTATAAAAATAGCAGTAGAGAAGTACAATAATGTGAAAGTTAAAAAAAAAAAAAGAAAAAAGTATTATTTCTAACATTAAGTTATCAGCCCATTAACTTTGTCAATAGTGATTGGTTATTTTATTAAAAAATACCGCGTAGAGGGTGCTGGAGTAGTCTGAGTATCCTCCTGTGGCTTTTTTCTGTATTTGTGAATCTCAGATGACTGCTGAAAATGTTAACTGTGGATTCTTTTCCTTTCAGTCGTTCACCATCAGGAAGTCCTCAAAGAAGTGCAAGTCCTGAAAGAATGGATTAAAGTTATGAAATTAATCTTTTAGGAAGAAAGTTATTTTGCTTACATTATTATAAGGGATTTTGTGGTGTCTTTGTAAATGTAAGAATGTAGATAGAAGAATATATGAACTAAAATTTGGCATGATCTGGGTCTTCTGAGTTAGTCACACCAATAGACTAGCACAGGTCTCTTTTTATTGTATGAATTAACTTCCTGTGATATGAAAATGTGGGACTTTTTTATTGGCACATTGAAATAAAATGTGTATTTTTAACTAAAACTTCTCTGTAGTAACCCTGCTGCTTCTGTTAACATTTGGGTAATTTTAGCTGTGTGCCATGTAATGTGGATGAGAAATGTCTAAAATGGGAATGACTAATATTGGTGTCTTCTCAAGCTTGTCGCTTTTCACATTTATTGTTGAATAGTCTTTAGTGAGAGGATCAGTTTCTGCTTTCTCTGAAATGGAATTTAAAATCCATCTCTCTCTGCAGATGGCTAAAAATTTGCATATGCCCTTTTTATTTCTTTATGATATTTAGCGGGCATTCATTTTTCTTCCTGATCTAATTATTCTGCAAAGCTTACTCTCTGGTGCTAGAGTAGTTGTGATACCAGATGCCCAAAAATTTAAGGATGAGCTCTTACTCAGAACACTGACATCTTTTAAATTAATAACATCTGCAGAAACCTCTAAACGTAATAGAAATCATTAATAACTTGATATTGCTACTTTTGCTTCTTGCATTTTTTAGTTCTTTAGGCTATTGATATAAAGAAAAACTTCTTAAAATGTCTTAAGGCATGCTTTCCTTTTTTGAGGGAAGATGTAAGGTCTTCTGACCTACTTTCTGAAGGACCCCAAGAAAATGTGTTTGAGAGGCTAAAGCAAGCTGTTATCAGTCTTTCTGCCGCTCACTCAAACTTTCCTCCTTCAAGTGAAAGATTCTCACAGCTGACCTCAGGAATTCTGACCTGCTTCACAAAAATTGGTACGGTTTTAAAGCAACCCAGATCCTGGAGAAAATTTTGTTGATTTAAGGTGACTTCCTACAGCAAATACACACCTGCAGGATTAATTATTTGTGTATTAGGTATGTCAAATGCTGTGTTTGTCCTCATTCTGTAGTCAAGAATTGCATGATAAGGCACTTCGACACAGATCACAGCAAAAGACTGGCAACAATGTTAGTCTGTGAACAAGTAAACTGGTAGGCGGAGGGGAAAAAAGCAAATATTTTTTTACTGCAATGGGATACCTAGCAGAAATAAAGGCCAGTTTTGGCAGTGAACAAGCACTGAAAGGGAAAGTGAGGCCTATTTGGGCTTCTTACAAAATCTGTTATGGCAGTTTGCTTCAATGTGTAAACCATGCAGAGCATCTTAAATGAAAAAAAATTACAAGATTATCTTTGGTCACACCTTGCGTAACCCATGATTTTCAAAAAGCAGGTTTCCTGTTAACAGTGACTTTATGGAGCTTTTTTTGGTGTGTGAGTAAATAGCCCAGATTCTGACCATACTGTCATGCTGCAGCATTGTCTGGCCTTTATGCCTAGTCCTAACTGTTGTGGTGCTTGGTGTCTGCCTGGACACTTCCGCAGTGCTCAGTGATGGGGATCAGTGTTTCATCTGCCAGGTGCAATGATCAATATTCTGGCAACAGCCATTAAATTCCACTGTTGCTGCAACAGGAGAGCCGGGGAGTGACACAAGTGTTGCCATGCGGTGATTTAGCAGAAATGCCCAAAGCCTGTGACTTGTGTTTGGAATATTTACTGGTTGTGCATTGCCTGCCCGGTTTATAGCATACCTGGTGAGAGGCATGTACGCCACTGCTCTGGAATTTGATCAGCTCTTTTTCTCTTCTGTACTCTTAAGGCAAACCTACTCCACAATAAACCTGCAGACTAACATGACAGCTGTACTGGTACCTGTTTTTCAGTACCCAGAGACACTGTAGAAGACAGAGCAGAGGAGCCTGGGGTTTCTGTAGGGGACTGGGGTACCTCTAAGCCCAGGCTCAGCAGTGAGAACTTGACCAAGGAGGCAGGGCTCTGCCGGTGCGGGCAGCCCTGCCTGCGGCTCTTGCCTCTGCAGGACAGCCAGCGCTTCTGAGGGGCAGAGATGGAGCAGTGGCAAATCACACCAGTCTGTGCTTCTGTGCCGCTGTGGTGACCAAAACAGGGTGGTGGCTGTGCTGCCTCCCTCGGCTCCAGTCATCATCCTTGGAGCAGGCTGTGCAGCTCCAGCTCTCACCTGAGTTTGGCAGGATTTCACCAAGAATTCTGTACAGCATTTGTGAGCTCTTGGAAAAGATGCCTGGACAGGGGTGTGTTTGTGTGTCCACTGCTGCTGTGACCCTGGGCCCTGCACCTCTGGGTGTGTGTGTGTACCCTGCACAGCCTGGCTGAGAGTGGGCCACAAGGGGATGTGTACCTGAGGCCTCCAGCACGGTGGGCAAACCCCACTCTCACAGGGGTGATGGTGCTTCCACTTCTGGTTTGCAACCTAGCATTTCCCGAGCTTGGATGAGCTGGGCTTTATTGTCCAAATGATAACAGCCCTTAGACAGTACAAACTGCAGCCGCATAATGTGTGGTCACTGTGCGCGTTCATGCACTCAGGGCATTGCAGAAGAGTAGTGGGGTGCGTGCTCATTTAGGGGGGTCAGGGTGGCAGAACTGACCATGACAGGTCTGCCACATTTGTGAGCCCAATGGCCAGGCACTTCCACTGGGGGCAAGATCATTCGTGCAGCTCTGCAGCCGAGAAAGCGTGCTGGAGTGCTGCAGGCCCCGGCCACAGTCTGCCAGCCAGAGCCCGGGCTTGCACAGCCCCTTTGGCAGCAGTATGGCAGGAGAAGGTAGGAGTCAGCCTGTGTTGCCTCGCACAGGGTTCCTGGCCCAAGGGCTGGCTACCCCTGTGTCCCTGGGGAGAGGGGTGCCAGCTTCCTAACATGATGGCACTGCCATCCCTCTGACTTGTGCAAATCTTTTATGAAACCTCAGAAACGTGGAGGTTTTCATCAGACAGGCCCCTGTTACAGGATTTTGGGGATGATACGTATTTCATGTTGAAACACAATATTAGGATGATGGTTTTCCTCCTGCAGTTGTATATTCAGGACTATAGATAGATGCACCCATGTCACTTCAGCAACCAAGGTGCAGCTATTGCTGCTGGCTTTGAACTAGGAGTTAAGCCAGAGGAGCTAGGGTGGCCAGCTGGGATAATCCCAGCACACCGTCTTCCACAAAGCTATTCTGTGTGATCACTGCGTACCTGTGCCATCGCAATGCTGCTGTCAGACCCGGCAGCTCCAGCTGTGAGGGCTGCCCTGTTGCCGGGCATGGGAAGAGCAGGGCACCCTTCAATGAGCTGACACCAAGCTGTGCAGCAGCTCAGTTGCGGGGAGAGAGCAGCAGTCAGCATAGCTTAGAGCACTTTGCTGGGAATAGCTGATGTTGTAATGAACAAACCACAACTTTATCAGCCTTCCCACATGCTTCACATGAACATTATCAGATATTCCCCTGCTGTAGTTTGAGCTTTGACATGCCATGGCGCTAAACAAGGTGTTTTCAGTGCATTTTTACTGCAAAACAAACCTAATGCCCAGGGTGAGGCTGGACAGAGGGTGAGAGCTTTGCACAGACCAGATACTGGGAGAGGTGGTGACAGGGGTTAAAGCCAGCAGAATCCACGAGTGAAAACCACAGAGGAGGAAAAAAGTTCCCAAACGGGATATATCACCCAGGGTAGTTTGAAAGCGCTGTTTGGCACTTGGCAGGATTTCTGGCTAACCTGGTAGAGGCACTTACCCCTTTTGGTGGTAGGAGTCAGCAGCCCTTTTCCTCAAGCAGCACTGAACACGAGCCATGTAGTGTGGTTGTATTCCTCACCCGGCCGGAGTAGGGCATTGGGGAAGTGAGGCTGGGGAGAGGGAACAGCACGTCAGTGACTGTGAGCACACACCGCGGGACCAGAAAGGGTCATGAGGGCACAGATGCATCCCCTCGGCCTTCCTGGGGCGATTTCCAGTGGCAGGGTTTAACAGCCTGTTACTTGCTGGCTGGCTGAGTGCGAGAGTCCTCCCTCCAGCTGAATTCAGGATGTGGCAAGGCCCCAGTGGGGTCTTCTGCTCTATACCCCGTGCCCTTGGGAAGCTGGGCTGCATGGGGCCCGTCCCCCACTGTGCTGGCTGACCCCTGCCTAATGCCATAGGATGCTGTGACCTGTGCCTGCCTCAGTTCTGGTGTCTACAAAGCATCCCCTCACCAAACAGAATCCGTTCATATATTTAACACCCCAGAGACACGGGTGGTGGTGCTGGTACAGTCCCCTGCAACAGGACCCGAGCAGCTTCCAGGGGTGGGGGGATGGTTCACCTTGTTGACAGCATCGGGCCAGTTCTGGGTTTCAAGGCAGAAAGCCGAGTGTTTGCAGTACGCTACGGCGCCTTTGCCTTTCAGGGAGCCGTCCAGGTTGTTCCCGGTGTAAAACTGGATGCCAGGCTGGGTGGTGTGAACCTCCATGGCCCTGCCGGTGGGCGGGTGGCAAGCCCTGGGGAGATGCCGGTGGAAGATGCCAAGGGGCTGGCTGAACAGGCGTCCCGCTGCTCCAGGAGCGGAGGACTCCTGCCAGGGTCCCAGCCTACCTGGCCACGAGGCGTTGACCCTCTGCCTGCTGCAGGCAGAAATTGTGGTCGAAGCCGTCCAGGTGAAACTTCTGCAGGTGCTTCCCCAGCTCCACAGGCTGGCGGGGGTCAAAGCCGGGGGTGGCCACCTCCCCTGGGCAAGGAGAACAGCAGTGCCAGCCACTCACCCACACACCAGCAAACACTCGCAGCGCTGGCCCCTGCGCAGGGTGGAGATCCCTCGCTTTGGTGAGCTGAGGGTTTTAAGCTGTTTTGTGATCCTTCTGTTGTTGCGGTGCCCCACTTGGAGCAAGCTTGCTTTGTGGGCACTGTGAACTGGGGCTGGGATATCACCACCTTGTCCCTGAGCAGAGCTGGCAGCCCCCGGGGTCACTGCTGTGCTTAGCTGGGACAAAGCAAAGCCAAGGAGCCGGAAAACAAGAGGGGAGGGCTTGTATATATAACTATACAAGCTAATTAATGTAAACCCAAAACTTATTAGCTATTAATATTTATATATGTGTAAGATTATATACATTTACTCTCTAAATCAATCAATCAATCAATCCTCCCAGATCTCTGAACAAACATCCATGAGATGGCCACGAAGGTGGCCCACCTGCCAGGATGGTTGAATACGGGCTGTATACTGGGACTAATCCCATCCTGCCTCAGGGCATTGTTTCAGGAAAAGCAGATTTTAAGACCATAAAATCAGCATTTTCTCTCAAGTCTTTTTTTAAGGCCTGATGCGGGGATGCAGCATCCTGTGATAAAGCCCGTGCAGTAAGAACAACCCTAAGATGCACTAAACACAGTGCAAAACAGCCATCCCGACCCAAAAGCAAGGGGCTTCACACGGGGGAGGTGAGAGACAAAGAGCAGGGGAGGGGATTTTTCTTCCCCTAAAGTCACATTTTACTACCCCTCTCTAAAGGGGGAGGTTTCCAAGGGTCAGCAGGCAGCTGCCAGCACTGGGGTTGGCGGCGCACAGGCATCCCAGCCCTGCTGCCAGCACCATGCACTGTGCTCTGCTCGCTGCAGTCGCGCACCCAGCTCGGCTGCAGCTCTGCACCAGTTCTGCTTTGCAAACCTTGAGAAACATCAATCTCCACCTGACAAACAGCACATTTCTGTGGCTTCTGATCCTATCTGAAAGGAGCTCATTTACTGAAATCAGCTGCGAGGCAGAAAAACACCTTGAAAAATAAAATAAACCATTTTGATTTAGGCACTTACATAAAATACAGCAGCCATTGCACACAAGGGCTCTTGTCTTCACTCCAGGGCTAGGACTACACACAGTTTTATCAGCTTCAAAGGCTACATTTACCCAAAACACCAAGAGGGAACTGGAAAAAGCAGGGGCTGCAAGCTATCCGCAATTAAGATGTGAAACAGCTCCATGGTGAAAGCAGTGGGGAGAAGCAGGGCAGTGGCTTTGGTATGGCCTTAAGCTCTTCCCCGGCTTCAGCCCAGGCATGACACATCAGGCTGAGCAAAAGCCACCTGGACTGCGAGACCCACTCCTCCAAGTGCAAACCGATGCATGCATGCACAGCGGTTTTTTTGTGCATGAACACAGCGGTAACTCTGGTTTTAGCAGACACCTGAGCTAAAAAGCTTTCTTGCTTTCTTTTTTTTTTTTTTGCTTGTTAAAGCCTCTCTTCCTTTCCCTTCTGAAGTCAGAAGGTGCACTCGGCAAAGCAGCCCTGCAAAAGCATCAGGGAAACAAGCCCCGCCATTTCCAGCAGAGCCTACGCTTACGAGAAACCGCCCCGTGGGCTCGTGCAGCCCTTGGGCACACATCCCGCACCGCACCCAGTTTCTCTTCTGTTGATGCTAGCTGCACTCCCAGCACAGCCTTCCGGGCATTTATGCCATGGTTCAGCATCTGCACTGCTACGGCCTCCATTCTGCTAAGCCAGTCGAGCTGGATGAAAAGCCATCATTTAGGAGCAAGTCTAGAAGTCTGCTTTTCTGATTATTTCACATTTTTAAAAAATTAAGCCATATACAGCTACTTTTTTTTTTAATAGTGCTTTTCGTTCTTAAAAACAATAAAACTTGGTATCAGATTCATTTTGCAATTAGATCACCTCTTACTGCAGCTCAGCACAGACCCTGATGCTAAATGAAAAGTGGGTGTTGGAGCCGCCCAGTGCGAGGGTTGGAGTCAAGCCACTCAAAGCAAGATGCCCCCTTGTTAGCAATGGGACCTTTGCCAAGTGCTTGTGTTTGGTGCTGGCTCTCCTGCGGGTACAGGGAATGTGCTCCCTGTCCCAGCTTGTTCGGATTATTTAACTTAGTGGCTTGATCATTTATGGGGAGGAACGGGGTGGGGGGGAGAAAACTAGAAAGCCCTTTTTTCTCCCTTTTACCCCCTGAATCAAGACTGGGTGCAAGAGGCTGCCAGCTTGCTTCTCCGCACTGAGGTTGGAGACAGCAGCAATACCACCTTTGTTTAATTAACCTGCTTAGCATGCAAAGCATGCTGTTTTCCTTAACTGGCTTTCCTCTCTTAGCTGTGCAAGACATTAAAGACAGGAAAGAAAAGAGTTGGTTTCGTGTCTTCAGCCTCCCAGCCAGTAGTGCCAGCCTTCCCATCCCGATGAAGGGACTGATGGCTCAGCTTTTTCAGGGAAGGATGATGCTGGGCTCCCAAGCACCAGAGATCCCAGCAGATCTAGAGCTCAGTGCTGGGCCTGGGAGCTGCCCTCCAGATCAGGGAGTCTTGACCACGTCCTGGTGTGCCATCATATTTATCGACAGCAGCCCTGTGCCTGGAGCATGCTGCTTGCATCTCCCACATTTTACTGAGACTTAAGAAATGAATTCTCCTGCTTTCTGTGGACTTTGAGCATGGGCCGATCTGGAAATAAGATCTGTGGAAACAGGACCTTGACATCACGTGGAACAACCCATTAGAGAAGTATGATAAAGCCAAACACTGCTGAAGGAAGCAAAGCATGTAAACCCTAGGCCAATCCCAGCTCTCAAAGTGCTGAGCGACCCTCTCTGGTGGCCCCACTGGCCCTGGGAACAATGGATTGGCCTTGCAGGGAAGTGCTAGCCAAACAGATCTGGAGGGACATGCTTTGGTCCTGTGTCACAGGTAGCTAGTCTCCTGAGTGGGCCCCTTGGGCCCACGTTGCAGCCTTGCATCCCACCTGCCTCTGGCCCCATCTCCTGCTGCTCCTTCCTGCACCCCCTAGTCGGACCCTGGTCCACCCCTTCTCCAGGTCTGGGGCTGGTGATGGACCCTGTTACCAGCACCTGGCTCTGACCACTCTGCACGGTCCACGCATGAGGGCTCTGCTGTGCCTGGGGTCCCCTGGCTCCTGGTGCGTCCCCCCTTGCTGGGCAGTGCTGTTCCCCGAGATGCACAAACACTCATCTGTAAAACCGTCTCCACCATGTGCTGCAGCTGTTGCACCACTCACCAGTGGGGATCTTGGTGTTGTCCACAGGTAGGTAGGAATCTGCTTCAATAGAAATCTCGTGGTCGTAGATATCCCATGAGCCCTGCAGGAGGATGGGATTGCTGCAGCCCTTTGCCATTTGAGCAGCCCTAAGCACACCCGGGAAGTGACTGCCCACCGTGGTGCTACAGATGATCTAGTAGTGCCTGGGGGACCTCCTGGCCATCATCCCACATTGATCCTGGGCACAAGACAAAGGTACCAGAACAAGCAAAAACCTGCATGGGACCGAGGAGCTGTAAATCCTGCAGGGCTGAGACTATCAGTCTGAACTTGTACCTCACCAAGCACTACCACCCTGCAGACCGGCTAGCCAAAACACGCTGGTTGCTGAGCACACAGCGGCAGGCAAAAGGGGAAGGAAGCAAGTGTGGGGAAGCACAACTCAATCTCCTGGCTCATCTCCTGCAGTGCGGGGGGTTGCACTCCTCTTCCTCTCCTGCAGCCTTGGAGATGCTGGCAGGGAACCTGCTGGGATGGAAGGGGAGCAGCACCAAAGCCGAGCCTGCATGTCACTGTCTAATCTGAGCAGCAATTTCATGCCCAAAGGTCTCCCGTTCCTCTGGAAACACGCCCAAGTTTCATGCTGCAGGTGTTGACATTGCTGTGCTGCTGGGAGGGCAAATGGAGAGTAAACTAACAACTGCACAGCCATTATTAGGGCAGTAGCCTGAGCAGACCTCCTGCACGGAGGGGCTGGGATGTCTTTCACTAACTTTTTTAAGGGTTTTTGTCTCACTTTCAAGTGTGACTGCACTGTCCCATCCTATTGCTCTGCCCAGCAACATTTCCCAGATCCTTTTCCTCCAAGTCCAGTTATAAACAGGGTGAGACTGAAATGCAGCTGCAATACAGTGCCTGTCTAGCTGGCAGGACCCTGGACTGGTGTGTGGGAGCCCTCTGCACCCTGCTACTGCCCCGCTCTGCAACCTCGGCCACCTCACATCCCCTTTCCATGATGTTTCTCCTCCTCATTTTGGCCTGGATATTTCGGTGCTGCGCTGACTCTGGCTGGCACTACAGGCCTTGATCTCAGCTGCACCATCCACACAAGGGTTCGGTACATTGCCCGTGGGTCCCCAGGCTTTCTTCCCCTGCACAGTGTTCCTCCGCGGGGTTCATCTCCCCATGCTTACCTGTCCTGCGAGGTTGAAGTACGCATGGTTTGTCAGGTTGATGGGTGTCGTCTTGTTGGTCTGGGCTCGGTAGTTGATGGCCAGCTCCCCACCGCTGAGCGTGTAGGTCACCCAGACTTTCAGGTCACCGGGGTAGCCTTCCTCACCATCAGGGCTGACCCGGAAGAAGCAGACGCCATTTGGGAGGACCTGGGGGCTCCAGAGAACCTGCAAGGAGCGTGCCATTGGTAAGGAAGTCATGGGAAAAATGGTGTCCTTCTCTCCAGCCCCTGGCTGGGCTGAACCCAGGGACAAGAGGTACTCAAGGAACGGTGCACTGAAACAAAGGTTTTTTCAATCATCTTTCCTGCTCTTACTCCTAGAAGAAAAAAAAAAAAGCCCCCAAACAATCCTTTTCTCCCTATGAAGGAATAAAAACCAATATCCCCTTGTTGAAAATGAAAAGGGGAAGTGGGAGAAAACACAAGCATCAGCCTGCTCTTGGCCAGCCAGAGCCAGCAGCAGGGAATAAGTTTTCCAATGAGCAGCCAAACAAAACGAGGCAGTTTGCTCTGATGGGGGGTCTGTCCCAGCCTGTGTTACTCCACGCATAAGAGGGTCCAGGCGTTTGATTTTTGCCCTGCAGCTGGACTTATTCCCCCTCCCATGGATCTCCTGGTGTGCAACATGGCTTCAACAAGCTGCCGCCCTTCCCTCAGCTAACTCAGGGCTGGCTTCTACAACAATGTAAATACACAGTGGGAACTCCTGCTTAGGGGCTGGGGTTGGGTTAAATAGTACTGGATGTATTGCCAGATGCATCCACATGTCAGTCCTGATCTACAGAACTGGGACCTCTCCGTTTCTTGCCCCTGCCAGAGACCAGGGCTCTGCTTGGAGGAGAACCTGCTGGTGAGCGAAGCAAGCCAGCACACTGTAAATTTAGCTGCCCAGACAGCCTGTTTGACCCTGGCTGCGGACATGATGCTAAGCAGATGTCTCAGCCCCTTGCAGGATGGATGTGCAACAAGAGGTGAGGTGCCCAGTCTCTGCAGCTTTGCATCTACCTAAGGAATAGTTACTGTCTAAGCAAAGAGGACAGATCTAGGGGCAGGGGTCAGATAACACCTTTGAGATGACTCCCTTCATGTTCTATGCAGAGACCACAAACTTGGGGCAGTTGTCAAAAGCCAACACTTTCACCAAACATGGGAACTGAGGGTGCCAAATGTGATAACCAGGCTGCAGAGTGGATCCTCCCGCACCGAGTGCAGTTCGACTGCAGCTCCCACTGCTGTGGGAGGCTGTCGTTTTATATATGTTTCTATTCAAGTTCTTCAAAGAAAAAGCTATTGAAGGTCAGTAAGCATACATTTAATACTATTTTTTAAAGCTAAGGGAGTTATTTTCTGAAGTCCCCCAGTCCCCCAGCAGTGTGGTCAGATATTACTGCCACATAAGTGTGGCTGCAAGCTTCCTTGCACTGACCACAGCACCGAGGTCTGCAAGATCAGGAAAAACCGACAAGATGGCCAAGATAGTCACAGCCAAGAGCCAGCATGTCTTGTTTCTGTTAGGGCTGACCACAGGTCTCCGCACAGTGACCGTTACCTGGCTGGAGGGGGTCTTGAGTGGGTGCCCGAGCGTGCCCTGTGGACCAGAGGACACAAAGCCCTGGCTGGAAGGTGTCAGTGCCTTGTCCCCACCAGGCTGGCGTGCCTTCAGCAAGCCAGGGGAAGAGGCAGGAGAAGAGATCACATCTCCCGTCTGCAGAAGACAGCCTAGAAGCCTCGAGTGCAAAGGAGTGCATGTTTTCAGCTCCAGCTCACAGGGGGTCAGGGCATATAAAGAAACTTTAAACCAAATTGCCTTCTTTGGGGTTACAACAGCCAAGTCATCCCAGTACTCCCTTTTTTCTAAGGCTGCTGAGAAGTGTTTAATCCCGATCTGATGCTAGTTCACACTGCGCTGCCCAGAAGGTGATCTTTTTTTCCAGACACTCTGACTTTTGCCCCATCAGCCTGGATGTCCTTTCACAAAACAAAACATTAACCCAGGAAAGCAGTTGCACCAGCATATTCACATGCGTTCCTCTGGGGAAACGGTGGATTAGCTACTTGCTGGTTACAAATGCGTTTGATCCAACAAAGCCCAAGGCCTCAGGAAAGCAGAGACTTCTGAGCCTGCTATGCAATCAGCAGGGTTATCAGCAAGGCCTTCCAGAGAGGAGATGCTCTGCTGCTCATACCAATTGTAGCACACGGATGGTATCCGGACTTCAGCAGCAGCTCTTGGGAGAAAATAGGAAGGGCTGAATGACCTGGGGCCAGGGAAAGGTTATTTTATCTTGGGAGGTCACAGGGAAGGGCTGGGGAGGGGACACAGCGATGCTGGGCATTTTGCAGGCCTGATCTAGTCACCCACTGCTGTGAGTCAGAGCAAGAGCGCCGGGGTATGCCGTCACTGGGATGAAAGCAGCACCAAAGTGGGTAATACAATAACTGCACTGAACCCACAGCAGCACTCTGCTCTCCCCTTACTCGGGACTTGCCGGAGCAGCACCTCGCCCCAGGACAACACTGTCAGAACTGGGCTCAAGAGGCCTCAGGGCTGCAGTAACTCAGAGGAAGCACAGCAACCCTCTGCATGGCATCCAAGGATGACGCAGGTGAGCCCTGCTAAGCCACATGGGCAAAGACAAGCCAACCCAGCAGCTCACAGTCTCTCACTTCCCCCTGTTCCTGCACTCACAGCACTTTCTGGAAGCTGAACCAACTCAATAACCACCAGAAAACCCTACAAGGTCAGGAGTGAAGACTTCATATCCTCTTGCCACAACCCCACAGGCTGTGTGCCAGAGGACACCGGGACCCGCCAGCCTGATTTTCACCTTGTCAAATCCCCTGGCTCCTCCATGCAGGCTGTTGGGCCCGTTGTTGAGGAACAGCTGATAATATTTCCTGTCCACAGTGAACCTCCCCTTCGCAATCCTGTTGGCAACACGCCCCACGACGGCACCGAAGAAGGGGTGCTGCTTCGTGTAACCTGGCCAGAAAAACAGTGCGTGGTTAAATGGAAGGATTGGGACAGGATAGACAGTCTCCAGGTGTGCTTACGGACTCAGAGGTGTCTCTCTCTGCTTCCCCCCAGTACTAAACAGGTGACTGCAGTCCCGGTGTTTTCCAGGACACACAGCTTGCTAGTCATCTCTGATTAAAACAGCCTGATGGATCTTGTATTCTTTGCAGATTTGCAGAAAAGGCCTCTGTCACTGCCAGTCAAAGCATGACACAGAGCCACGCCATTAGAGGGGCACAGCTGCAACCTGGAGCCACCAGTGTCCCCATCCCCTGTCCACCACTGAGCCCAGGACAGGCACCAGGCATTGTATTTGTTCAGCCCATGATTTGGAGGGGACCCTTAGAATCAGATCATGCAGTGTGGCAATAAACCAGAAAACGCTGGTTAAAGTGCCTGATTTTTTTTTTTTTTTAAAGAAATAGATTTAGACCCACCTTCCAAAGTGTCAAAGCCTAGGACAACATCCGAAAACTCCCCATCCCTGCCTTTCGTCTCCAGAGTGGCGATTATGCACCCTAAGGACAGGATCTCCACTTTCACACTGTCTGACTTTAAGATGAACTTTTCCACCACTCCTCCTCCTTCCTCCTGGGGCATCTGCCCGAACACCTCTCTCTTCACTTCAGTCATTGCCCCCCAAAACCTGGCCCCTGGCACTGCCTGCAGGAGCTGCGGCCCTGCCCGGGAAGGACGCTCAGGAGGAAGCGACGGTGGCCGGGAGCAGAGCAAACACGGTTCTGGACAGCAGTCATAAAAATCACATGATTGCCTTCCAGCCCTGGGAGGAGTTATGCCGTGCATCGGCAACTCCCCGCCACCCCGGCTCGGCAGACGGCTTGCCAACAAAGCGGCAGCGCAGCCGCGGAGGGATGCGGTGACGTGTGGAGAGGTGCCGAGAGCTTTCACCCAAGAGCAGCAGCCCTCTGGGTCTGGTCGGGTGGAGGTGGCGGAGTTGAGGGAGAAGGCTGCCAAAAAGAGGGAGCAAGGCTGCGTGTGCTCGGGCTTGTGCTGCCGGGGCCAGGCAGTGCGGCTGCCAGCCCACGCGTTCGGGCTTTCAGAGGACAGAGCATCACCGCCACCAGCTCTTCTCCTCCACTTCCATTACACTGCCACAGCTTTCAGGGCCCTAGCAAAGTATGACATAACAAAATGCTGTTTTCTCCCTTTATGCCCCCCCAAGCCCCTCCACAAGAGACACAAGGCAGGTCTAGCACCTGCTGATGGAGCTGTAAGTCGGGCTCAGGGCATTTGCTGGCCAGGTGTTATTCTCAAAGTCACGTTCACATGGCCCTGACCTGGACTCCATTAAAAATCATCATCTTTTGATATACCAACTTCCCCTGTCTATCTCAGGTCTTTGCAGGCAATTTCAGTCTTCAGGAAAACCCTAGCAATATTTAAGTAACAGGTGTATACGTTTTTGACATCTCTTGGCAAGGCCCAAGTACAAGGCGAAAGAACTTCACTACAATTTGGAATTGTTATATTTTTGTGCGGGCCTATTTTCAGAATTTGTTCAAAGAATCAGTAATTCCAAGAACTGCCACCAAAAAAACCTCAATCAATCAACCAGTGGTTGCTAAGTATTCATTTCCAACACAGCAATCACCTTTAGACAAGACAAACTACGGATTCCAAGCTGACACAGAAACAAAAGCTCCCACTTGGGCTCAGCAGAAGTGGTTTGGAAACCTGCACTTCTTTGTGAACGATGGCCTCGTGTTTGCAGTGTAACACAAACGACTGCTCCTGTACTTCCTTCTGCACCTTCACAGCTAGTGCTCGCTATCTGAAAATAACATTGCAAGTAAACATGCTTTTTACTGCTCATCAATACCACCTCTCATTTGAAACGGGCTGGGCGGCAGCACAAACTTTGGAGCAAGGAAGGCTCCTGGCAGGTGGAAGAAAGGGCAGTCCCACTTACAAGTGATTCATGAAGTGTTTTCACATGCAAAGCATTCCCAGAACCTCACTCCTTAGCACCTTGGCTCCCTCAACACCTCTCTCCTAACGTCCTTCTCCAGACACAGGAAGCATTTCTGCTTCGCAAAACACACATTTTCATTAAGATGTGTTTTTCTAACATAGCAGGAGCTGCTATTTTGATTTACTTCTCTGATTTACACCAGAGAAGGTCCAGATCCAACTCTTTGTCTGACATAGTTATGCAGGCCGTTTCATTTTCTCACGTATCTTCACAGATGCAAGATCACTCAAGCCCCAGTGACATCTAAGACTGTGCAGGTGCAAAAGCAATACCACAGACAAATCTGTTCATGAACCATCTACCCAATTTTCAAGCTGACAGATGAACCAGAAGAGAAACCAGCTTGCACAAGACTGAATCTTGCATGAAACAGTAAGGGCAGCGGAGAAATGTCAGCTTCAGGATTTGAGCAAGGTATTTCAGGAGTTCTGCTTCGTTACCTAGAGGATTCCTCATAGTTCGCCTTTGAGTGCATCCTTCCTGTCTGCCTCTCGCGAATGGCAGAGGCAGACAAGGGGAAGAGTCAGGATACAAGCAAGTCGTGTTCAGCATCTCACTACACTGGATTTTCTTTTTGGTCATTCCTATTTTTAAAAGAGAGTTTGTTTCAGGCCTTATTCACTGTGGCACTGAGTTTTGCTTACGGTGAGGGTCAAACGCAAGATCCTTGCATTTTTCTCTTCTTTCTTCCCAGAGGCAAACCGCAGTACAGGGCCTGAACATGCCTGACATTGGCAGCAGGGCACTTCCACAGCCAGCGAGCGTTCAGAAAAGGCCGCTGCACATCTCCAAGACTTTGGTTTCATTTTTGTGCCTTGCAGCTCTGCACAGGTAGCTGGGCAGTGCACTTGCTCTTCTCCAGATCTCCCTCATTCTCACCCAAAAGGTACTGCAGCAGCCTTTTGCAACCCAAACCCCAAACTGTTTGTGAGGAACAAGGATTTATCCACTCCATCACAGCCAGTGACCCTGCAGGTATAGCAGAGGCATGGCATGAAGGCAGGTCACCTGCTGACCAGAAGCCTGGCCCCAGCTCCTCTGAACCAGGCAAGAGATTTCTGTTTAGTAGCGAAGGCAAATTGGGAAGTCAGCTTGTGCGTGAACGGTCCTGTCTTTCCCTCACTAAAAAGCTAATAAAAAGGCACATTGTGAAAAAGAAGAGTTTGGGTTTTGTTTTGCTTTGTTTTGAGAGGGAGCCATTAAATGCACTGCCAACTACTGTCAGAAAATAAACTTGTTACGAGAAAAATTACAGAGGAGAATTTATTTCCCTGGGATCAGCAGCTTGGAAATTCCAGGTGCCTGCGGGCTGGCTACCATTTTGCAAGGTAGAAGTGAGGCATCAGATTTTACACGTGGTTGTGCTATTTTCTTATGGATACTTCATTTTTGTGCTTTTTTCAGATGTTTTTCTTTAATCCAAATCAAAGTGACTTTGCTTAAAAAGCTACAGTCGACCAAAACTCTCTGTCATGCACTGCCTGCTATCACAAGATCCTTTTTTGGTTGGTCCTAAGGCACTTCTGTAATAAATTACATCAGTACACTTCCTTCATTAATTTTGTCTTTATTTTAAACCCATCTGTGATTTTCAGTTTAATCTGGACCCAGAACAAGACTTTAGGACTCAACTGATGGAAAAAAACCTTTAAAGGAAATTCAGGTTTGTGAAGGGATGTGTTGTGCTCACCTACAGGATCCAACTCTGTTCTGCGTTACTCAGGTCCATAACCCCATTTTCAGCAGAGCTGCCTTGTGTAATGGAGTAGGAGTGTGACGTTAATGCCACTTGAGATAGGTGACATGTCTGCACCTGCCCTGTGGGGAATCTTTGGACAGTACTCCTGGGCCAGGTCGCTTGGACCAGATCTCTTGTTTTGAGGAACCTAAGCTGTTTGTCTCAGCACCATGAGCGGTGCAGCTTTGCACGCAGAGCCCAGAAATGATCAAGCTGTTATTGCATCACTGGCATTTTGATTTGAAGGTGACAGAGACACTCCAAATGCTGTAATACTTAAGCAATAGCCAACGATTGCAGTTTGCTGTTGCCCAAGAAGCTTCCTCATTCACTGATAGCAACAGTAATGTATCCAGCACTGCATCTGGAGATGGGGTCTGTTGGGGCTGGTTGCTGCAGACACAGAAAAGACCACAGATATCACTTGTTACACCTCCCAGCATTACATGGCTGTAATCAAATCTCCTTTTTCCAACAAACTTAATCTAAACCTGAGGGGACGAGCTGGCACTAAAGCCTGCAGGGTGTTTGCATTGGTACACAGGAGAAAAGGGGAGACATTCCCCCCACCATTTTATTGTCTGTTTATTGCACGTATCTTCAGCTCTGCTGGCTACTTCCCAGCACACAGGCTTAAAATGGAGCCTGCACTTTTTTGCTTCATCTCTTCAGGGGCAAATATACTGAGCAATTGATTAGGTTATTTTAGGATCATGGCATGGTACAATTGCTTGCTGTTATTCTGGCAGTAATTTATCAGGAGCCAGTTAGGCACGTTTTACAAAGCTCTTCAAAAAACCCAGCTACCGGAGAACACTTTACACAGCACGTTTCAGATGTGCCTTTGTGCGCAAGTTGTTTGTGTCTCAGTAGCAGCCAAAGAGCCATTTGGATGTGTTGGTTGCTATAGTAATTACTTTCCTCGGGAGCTAAAATAATAGCTTACAGCTCCTGTAGCTCGCTGTTGTGTAGGCTGCCTTGAACCAGAGACACTTCCATTTTGTTTTTGAGGGGGCTGGGGACTAGACTATAATGTACGCTGAGAGACAGACTTTCCTTTCTGTGCTCGTGCAGCTAATTTTGAATTTAACCTTTGTAGCGGATGTGTCACAGGTCTAAAGGTTCAAAAATAAAAGCAGCATATGAAATGGTAGGACAGCCTTGCGGCTGAGGTTTCTGATGGGGGTGAAGATTTGGATTTGGATTCTATTTCTGGTACTAAAAATTGGTAGAAAAGGGATTGAGGGTCATGCTGAAACTGATTTTCAGTGCTGAGGGCCCTACATAGCAATGGATGGGGGGGCTCACAGCAGTTTCAAAAGTGCCTAACCAAGTCAAGCAGGAACGTGACAAGGAGGACAGCTCTGCATCATTCAGCATTCTTTTTCACTGGTGACGGCACTGGTGAAGTTAACTGCCGTACGGACCTGCAGCTCTGGAGAGGGTAAGGGGTCTCACTGCGGACAAACAGCCTTTCAGAGCAATCCCACGGCTGGCAGACACCAGCTCCCCCTCCATCTGCAGGCACAGAACACTTCCGAGTGACATTTTAAATTGCAGTCCTCTGGGCTGCAGGACTTTTGCCTGAAAGGGCACTGTGCAGAAGCATTTCCCAGCAGTAGGACGAGCCCCATGCTCATGGCTGCGTGTGTTCATGAAGGAGGCACCAAAAGGGAAGGCCTCTAAGTCGTTTTGGGCTCCTAGCCTGACGAGCCAGGGATTTTTGTGCAGCTTGCAGCCAGGTGACCTGGCACTTCTGGAATCTGCCAAGGAAGCAGAAGAGAGGCAGGGGCAAGTGGCACAAGAAATGATCAGACAGGTTACCCCCCTGCATCAAGAGGCATCTGCAGGGCCACTATAGCTCAGATTTGTGACTCACAGGGGTTGACCGACATAGCATCCCAGCACCAGCAACAAGTACCAGTTTGGTTTTGC